GAGACTGCCTCTGTACAGACAGCTACGACCATCTAGTTCCAAGTGCCCCAGGTTCTTCGGACAGCCCAAGATCCACAAGAAGGATATTCCCCTGCGTCCCATTGTAGCTTACAGAAGGGGGACCTACATACAACACAGCCAGGCATCTTGCAAAGATCCTCCACCCCGTGGTAGGAAACACCGAACACCACATCAAGAACTCCGACTAGTTTGCAGCATTCATCCAAGACCTCACCCTCCAGCCGGACGACAACATGGTCAGCTTTGATGTCGTCTCCCTCTTCACCAGCATTCCCACCTCAGACGCCTGCACCATCGCCAAGGACAGACTTCAAGCAGACACCACTCTCCAAGACCGCACCGACCTCACCCCTGACCAGCTTCAAGATCTGCTCCTCACATGTGTCAACTCATCTAGCTTCAGATGGCAGGACAAATTCGTACAAGAGCGTACAACGTCTGCGAACGATGAACACCTACCTGAAGAACTCCATCACATCACCACAGCACTGCAACGCAACGGATACCAGCCCAGCCAAGTCAAGACACAAGACCCAAGAACCATTCCCGGCCGTAGGGTCTCCTATACCCAAAGCCAACTAGTTAGGGCCCCTAGTTCCATCACCCTCCCCTACTTAGCCACCACTTCTCATCTCATTCATTGCATCCTCCAAAAGCATGGAATTCGAGTCTTCCACACAGCCTCTCTGAAGATGCAGAACCTGCTGACTTTACGCAAGGATTGGTGTGACCCAGAATGCAGACCAGAGGTGACAAGATTCCATGTCAATGTGGGAAAATGTATATCGGCGAGACTGGCAGGGACCTCCCCACCAGACTCAATGAGCACAAAGCCCGTGGCAGGAAGGGAGACTTTTGAGAAATCTTCCATCGTCAAACACTCCCACACCGAGGACCACCAGATCAAATGGAGCCAAGCAGAACTACTCACTAGCATCGACCGCTGGTACCCACGACGCATCAGAGAAGCCATCGAGATCATCTAGCACAACACTGTTCCCCAAGACATCGGTTTCTACATCAGCAACATCTGGCGCCCCATCCTCAAGTCCAAGTCGGATGGGTCTCCTACACCCTAGGACAACTTAGCTTCAGTTCTCGCCTATAGGTCACCTATACCCTGAGCTCCTTCCCCTTTGCCCCCTCACTGTGTACTGACACGCTCCAGTGATCATCCAGCATCCCTCAGTCAACTTGCATCCTTCTCTGCTTCACCGGTTTCGAGCTTCAACAGTTTGCATCCTTCTCACGCCTCACCGCACCATCCTTATAACATCGCATCATCGTTTGAATCCCTCATTCTCCTGACGACGGGCAGAGCATACTGTTTGAAACTTTGAGTCCCTCCGGTTCTTTTCAGAACCACACATACTCCCAAAAGAGATTTATTCACATGGTGCTACCGCAAACTTATCTCGTCTTAAAAACTATTTTATACCCAGAAGTACTTGGGCGCTATCCGAGATAGTCGACGAAATGCATTAGGCAAAGTTTGGACATTTTCAAAAACCACCTGACCTAAGATTAGAGAAATAGTCTGAATCTTTTGGTCTGGGAACCAGACTAACAAAACAAAATTCTTCAATGTTCCCGATACTATGTCCTCTGGGTTTTCGTACAGTGGGATACTAATTCCACGTGGTGAGATACCAGTTCAAAAATTTAAGGTTGTTCTACACTTCCGCATTGTCCCAATCCGCCAAGGAAAACAACAAACATATAATCTTGTTTGGGATATATCGGTGTAAATATAAACAAAATTGTCATGAACGTTACATCAACCCCTAAAATCATTCATTAATTGCCGAAACAGCCTTTGTTTTCGTAAAGATTTTTTTGCTTTTTGTTCTGATTTTATTTCGTTTTTCTTTTTTTCTCTTTTTATTCCACCCTCAAATCCCATAGACTTTTTACACGTTATCTTAAATGTGCAAACTTAAACACCCTATATCTAAAAAACTGTAAGTCCGATTGGGTTGAAACTTGGTATGTAGGTAGACTGGGATGTGTTATAGGTAAAAATTGAGGTGACATCATCATGACCTAATCGTGTGTTTTATATCGATTTTTGAAGTTTTGAAGATTATCACCATATCTCTCGAACCCAACATGCTAAATGCAAAATTCTTTTTGTATTTGGTTTGTTAGGTAACAGGTAAATTGACAACCTCAAGCCCCCCCCCCCCCCCCCCCCCGGGTGTGCCACTGACGACGCTTGAGGCTCATGGGAAGACGCTGTGGCTAATATCTTTGGCACATTCAGAAAGTCATGCGTACTTCGAGTGCGAACACACACACACTGGAATTTGAATCCTTGTGGAGTCTTTTCTTTGTCATCGTGTACTAAAACTGTAGAGTTTGAAAGAGTAGTTTCAAAATGCTCCTATTTTATCCAGAATTAATTTCCTGGCAGAAATTCAGACTTAAAGGGAAAATACAGCATTTGCAAACATCACAAAATAAAACTACCAAATTATTTTGAAATACCTTGCTAAACTGTTAGTGAATGACAGTCTTAAGCATCCTGTAAAATCATGGCACCTGATATACTGTCATTTTCAAGAAAAGTTGTATTTTTGTATCAATTTCCAACGCTGGTTGGCCGACCAGCGTTGGAAAAATCTGGCTTTTTTTCAAATACTGGCCCCAGTTGACCATATTTAGTTAGTTCGCATTTGTTTGCAATCGCATTTGTTTGCAATCGATTACACACCTATGAATGGGTACAAGCCAGCTAGACTGGTTCCCTGACCTTACAATTCCCAATGTCTACAAATTACTCCGTTTCATCTTAAATGGAGTCGGGGAACCAGACTACAGGAAATGATTTGTTTTTGGATGATTACGGTTGTTTGGGATTGTAACTTCAGTAGGGGGTTGCTCTTAGGAGTAGGCAAGTTGGGATTGGTTTTGAGGTCAAAAGGTCAAAAGGTCAAGGTCACCGTGGTGAGTTAAAGTTATATGGTTTCCGGATGATAACTTGAGTTGGAAGTGAGATTTTGGTGTGTAACTTCGGTAGGGGGTTGCCCTTGGGTACAGGCAAGTTGGGATTGGTTTTGGAGTCAAACGGTCAAAGCTCAAGGTCACTGTGGTGAGTTAAAGGTACATGGTTTCCCGATGATAACTTGAGGTACAAATGAAATTTTGGTGTCTAAATTCGGTAGGGGGTTGCCCATTGGTACAGACATGTTGGGATTGGTTCTGTGGTCAAAGGTCAAGGTCCCCATGTTGCAGGGTTGGCGATTTTTTTTAATTTAAAAAAAACAAAAAAAATGGATTTATTTGATTTAAATCAGATTTTTAAAATTTAAATCAAATTTTTTTGATTTTTTTTACTTTCAAAATATTGATATGTCTAAACATGTGTCTAAATCTCCCCATGCACCCTCACACCTATCACAAAGGAGTTTACATGTTCCTATAATACTCATCATCCACAAAAGTCAATAAATTGATAAATGCTTTTGAAAAAAATTGTATTGAATCAGTGATTTAAAAAATCACTTGATTTCTTCTACATGTAGTCTACATCATTGGTTCAATGGTACATGTACATTATTACTGAAGACACTTTTTCATTGCTTGATTGATACAGCTGAGATACGTTGTGTGTGGATATGAATGAAAACTTGATTTATGGTACCTGTATACATGGTATACAAACAAAAATACGACAGTTCTCCATGGGCATGTTGATTTCATAAAAATGCTTCTAATTTCAAAACTGGCAGCACTGATCCTTGTGAAACTTATAGTGTTTGATTAATGGCCCAAGGAGGAGAACAGAAATCAGACCTCGCACCTTTAAAAGGTTTTATATAAATCTCAATCTAAATCTGTAGGGAGAAACGTTAGGACTAAGACTATCAATTGGGACTTTCGATATACTTTTTGATGGTTCATGTAAGCCTACACCAGTGCAGTTGATTCACAATATTACTGAAAATAGATCAAGGAATGATTAAAGCAAATGTGAGTGTGCTCTCTTTAAAATTAACAACTTTGAAGAAAAACTTTTAAACTCAGATCTTGACTTAATCAAAACAATGATTTTGTGTAATTATGCAAAACCTAAATTGAGTCGAATGGTGATGAAGTAGGGGTGTTTGAATGTGTTAACATCATCTTACACTTGTAATTAAGTGGAATCAGTTGATTTAAATGATTAAAGAGACCTCAATCAATTGATTTTGCCAAAAATATGATTTTTACAAAAAAGTGATTTAAATCAGTGATTTTTATTAAAAATATAATTTGATTTAAATCGCAATTTAAATCAGTGATTTAAATCAACGTGATTTAAATCAACCAACCCTGCCATGTTGAGTTAAAGGTTAATGGTTTCCAGATGATACCGGTAACTTGACTCTAGCTGAGGGGTTTCAACAGCAATGCTGTTATTTTTCCTCTGTGTTCTTTCATCACAGCTGCTGGTCACCCAGAAACATGTTTTGTTGCAGTTTTCCAATGGTGTCCTTTGGGACCAATACTTGTCTTAAAGTTGTAAGTGACCAAAATGGGCTGGCTATATCACCTGTCGTCAGATGAGGTCACACATGTTCTGGGTGCACACATGTTCTGGGTGTATTTTTACGGTCGGATACTTAGCGCAGGGAGAATTCACTCCATTCATTTCACACTATATCTTTCACCCCAAGATGAGTATTGGCTTAGTATTGAGAATTTCAACCCTGGTCCCCAGCAGGGTTGAGAATGTTAAGTATGAAATGTCCCCTGGCTCACCCTGGGCCCCTTTCAAGGTTTTGTTAAGTGTGAAAAGTCCTCAAGTGTACCCAGTAATTTGTTTGAAGGCAAAACAAAAACCATTGCATCACTTAGCTTGTTTAAGTTTATTGCTAAAAGGTTTAAACTGACTCGACCTGCTGCAGCTTACTGTAAACAAGTGGAATGGACTGGCTAACGGGTATTTGAAATTAATAACATTTATATATTTTATTTTATTTTTATGATTTCAATAGAACATGTCTATTGAACAAATGAAGAACATCTGTTCAGCTCTTGGATCCAACACACAGCTTAAGGAGTTATTCATGGCAAACACACGTCTTACTGACCCAGTTGCAAAGGTAAGTATGTGTATTAGGATCACTTATGATATTCATGTTAATATTGGCTTTTACCCTCCAGCACTGTAATTTTATAAGTGCAGCACTGTCTTCTGTAATTGTTTTCTGAGATTTTGTAAAAAAGAAGATGTTGTAAGCTTTCAAGGTAGTCGAAATGATAACATAGTAGGTTTACATACCACCCAAATAAGCTGAGGAATTTTTGTCTCCGTTGCTGTCAGAAAGCATTGTACTGTACATACAGGGCTTGAAAACATGTCAGTAAATGGCGAAATATTATTGCACATGTATTTGTACAGCTTGTACAACATGTACATTATTAGTTATCCCACAAGTGCAAGTAAACACGGAATAATGTGTCTGTGTCCCACATGCCACAAGGCCAAAGGCCGAAGGCTGAGTGATATGTGGGATGCAGATCCATCACATTTTCCGTGCTCCATTAGTGCGAGTGGGATAATGAATTTATCTTCAAGCAAACTTGATGTACAGTAAAGATGAAACACACATGCTGTACATGTTCAGCGGTTATCCTATTACACGTCTATGCAGCAGGAATGACGCGTGTATCTTGGAATAGCCTGTATGCAGAGTGCGATATGGGACTATGGTATTAGGGTATAATACCAAACTATTGTTGCCATTGATCGACCAATCAGGATCAATAATTCCAGGTTGCTTGAAGACAAGTACATGTACAGTGAGATTGTATATTCTAAACCTGCCTTGCATGCATGAAATGGAGAAAAGTCATTCAACAATAATAAGCGAAAGACCTGTAAGCTGAGCCTATAAAACTACTTGTACCTCTTGGGTTAATAAAATCTGCAGAGATTAGACGTTCTTAACGTTAAGGCCAACTGTCGAGCATTTCTATAAAAATGCACAAAACAATTAGATCATAAATTTACATTAAAATGGATATTAGAACCCACCATAACCTTGTGGTCCAAAATCACGCCCTTATCCAACCCGGCTATCGTACTGCTTGACCAATCATGGAAATTCATGGCATTAAACAAGTACGTGCGTAGGTATCATAAAAGTATTGTCTACAGATGGCGCTCATGTTTAATAGATGTACATGTAGTTTGGGAAAACAACATTCGCTACCCCACTGACAGAGGGGTTGGGAATCAGTGGGTAGGAAACAAACACAATACTGTATTTAGTTCAAAACATATAACGCAAACTATTTTGTCTAAATTTGCCCTTAAATCACTTGTCATTTGATACCTGATGATGTCATGATGACGTAACAAAATGTATAACATCTTCGTAACATGGTACAAGTTCACACAAGGTTTTGTGACCATACCGTAAACCGTTTGGAAGAAAATGTGCTTTGTTTTGATTTCAGGCTAATGTCTTCATTTTGAATTCACCTAACTTTGACCTTCCAGTAGAACCGGAAGTAAAGGTCAAGTGAGCATTATTTGTAATGAAGTTCTATGGAAAAAAAAATTTGACAGCTGGGGGTTTTGACCCCCCCCCCCCCATCCATGCCTGGACATGAAAATCCCAGCTGCTGAAAGATCTGGCTTGTTTGAAAGGCACTTAACCACCTTTGCACCAGAGTTGTCCGATACGTGGGGATACGCTACAGGTCCAACGACAGTGACTGTGGAACAGAATCTCAGACAATTACGGAACGCCAAAGAGGCATTTAATGTGATCATCGAATCGATGATGCACTTTTGCAATCGGTGATGCATATTCACGATCGGTGAAGGACTTTTGCGACCGGTTATCAACTTTAACTGGTGATGCATATTCACGAGCGGAGATGGACTTTCGCGATCGGTGATGGACTTTTGCAATCGGTGATGGACTTGCACGACCGGTGATCAACTTTGCAATCGGTGATGGACTTTCTTGATTGGTGATCAACTTTGCAATTGGTGATGGACTTTCGCGATCGGTGATGGACTTTCTTGATTGGTGATCAACTTTGCGATCGGTGATGGACATTTGCGATCGGTCATGTCGGTCATGATGGACTTTCGCGACCGTGTGATCAGGTTTGCAAATGCAATCAGTTGTGTGTTGCGTTATAATCATTTGCATTTATCACACTGATTTTTCAGTTCCTAGCTCCATGATATCACCATGGCTTTATGATATTACCAACTTTAGAACTGGAGTAATTTTTACAAATTTACATCATTTGTAGATTTTATTAAACTAGTTAATGCATTAATGTGGCCATTGCGAATGTGCAGAGACTTTTTTTGTCGGGTTGACTACATAGGTTACTGTTGTGGTTGTAGTCCTATTCAGAAATTTTATTTTGCTTTTTTTTAAAAACATTATTCAATGTTTTTCTTTGAAAACTCCGATGTGTAAGTACCCCCCCCCCCAAAAAGACTATGCACACCGGTGAATCATTATTTATTAGTGAAAGAATATGTAACCATTTGGGTTGAATAGCGAATGTTTTTTCTGTTTGTTTGCACTCCACAATTAAACAAGCTCGGCCAAAATACTGATGACTCTGGGTACATGTTTAATATTTCTGGGCTACTGAAAAAAAATCCAACAACAGCTGTCATACAAGCAAGGGAATACATTACTTTACCATAAGATCTTGGAATGTGAGTTGAGTTCAAATTTCCACAAGTTGTTAAGTGCAATAATTGAGCTCAGTCCTTTGTTTTGTTTACAAGGAAATAATGATAAGCCAATAACACAAAGCAACAGGTGATTTATCCGCATATTAGGAGGCCAAGCCCAAGTAAAAAAAACAACGTCATGTGACAAAAATGTGTGGGGGGGGGGGGTGTTTTAAACTTAACAACTTCCAGTCAACTTTATCGTGGAATATGAGTGAAAAACGATTTTGATCCACGACAACAGAGCGCAGCCAGTGCTGTAAAAACCCTTCCCTTTTAAGAAACTTTACACAGTGTGTTCTGTTGTTGGTGGCTAGAAAACCCAAACGGATATTACTCGAGCTTGACCCGTCCATAGATCCACTTGATGTTTGCTTGGCCTCGCATTCCTGGGCAAACCACAAAAGGATAATGCAGAGGCCGGGGTGATAAAACAAAGTCAGTCAGCTGGAAGAAAACCTTATATGAATAATAATGAAGTAGTGAAAGTTGATATGGAAGTATTCTGCAGAGAATTGCAATGTTGGTAGTCTCGTCAGAGGGGCAAAATAACAGATTTTCCCACTGTGGTCTTAGACATACAATGAATACTCATAATAGTTCGATAAACCAAGTGGTTTATCGAACTATTATGAGTATTCATTGTATGTCTAAGACCACAGTGGGAAAATCTGTTATTTTGCCCCTCTGACGAGACTACCAACATTGCAATTGTTGGGCAACGGTAATTTACACAGCATGAAATTACCTTATATTGGGTTGAATTAGGTAAAAACTGTCAAACTATTGGCGAGGAACAATTTGAGCAAGACTAGAGTGTATATTGTAGGCAGTTGATAAATCGACCATCATTGGTCGAATTATCAACCCATTTGCCCAACTTTTTTTTACAGTGTACACAACCGGAAAAAATGAATAATAATTTCAAATTTTAAAAATGAAAATAATCTAAACTCTTGTAGAAAAACATACCATTGACTATTGATTCATTAAACATATAAGCAATTAAAAACTCTGCATCCAGGTAATTATATAAATTAACGATAATAGCTAGTAGCGGACGTTGTGAATTATTTTCCTTTTCTTATGTTTTGTCTTTAATTTGTACCATAATCATCTCTAGGTTTAGAAAATATGTTTTCCCTTATTATTTAGCTTAGACCATGTCTGTACAATCATAGAGCTAGGACCCAAGGAGTTCGAACTCCAAGACATCAAAAGTACAAGGATGATCGCCGACACTGCCCTGCGGCACAATCGCTCTGTTTTACGACCCTTATCTAAACACCAATTAGCGCGCTTGGCCGGGCGCTGCTGCGCCTCGGGCGCGACGTCCTCGGTACTACGCATGCGCGTTCATGACCGGCAGTGCTTATCCAACATGGCGGCGATAACTCCTGAAACTTACGCTGAAATTTGCGAAGACAATTTCGACGTTCCGGACGATTTTTCGGACTGGTCTGATGAGGATTTTGATCCAACGGTCGGCGAAGATGTTTCGTCAGTATTTGTGAATGACCAAAACGAAGACAAATACTGTATTTGTGATCAAAAGCCGACAGTATCGATGGCGATGGTAGCATGTGCAGATGCCGAATGTGCAGTGAAATGGTACCATCCCGAGTGTGCAGGCCTACCGATGGACGCGGACGGCAGATGCGTTGTCCCGGAGGGTTGGATCTGTGAAAATTGTAGGCCTTCAGCATCAGGTGAAAAAGTGTGATTTTTTGCAATAAAGAGCATCTGTTTTGGACTACTTATACTTTTCGAAAGATTCCCATATCTGGCCAGCACTTTTCACCCTGTGCATGCTGTGCACAAACCGTATGAAAATGAGCGATGAGACTGGTCTGAAAATTTCTAATTTTTCTCAGTAGGAAATACTTCGAAGGGAAAAAATGTCTACTTTTTTTCTTCATATATATCATCTCAATAAAGGTCAGTCATTGCAAAAATGATAATAAGACATAAATCTGGGACTGAGTTTTATTTCCTAATTTTCTTGACTCTTCTTAGACTTTGTACACAACTGCCGAAGTGGCCTCAAGTTGCAACATTTCTCCACTTCAATATTTTCCCTGCTAACTTTGACTTTTAAACTTGAGACATTTTATCACTTTTTGATGGCTGATACGTCACTGAAAGGAAAAATTAATGATGGCCAGATATGGGAATCTTTCCCTACATTTACGCCTGTATTACGATAGCATATGTGGGAAAATTTCAGATTGTTTCGGCCTACTAATTTTATTTTAAACTTTTACAGGCATGGCAGCCAGGTCATCTTGTCAGCAAGGAGTTGTGGAGGATACGTGTACGTCCGTGGATATGCCGTCAAAGAAAGCAGAAGGGGAAAAGAGCAAAAATAAAAGAGGTAAGTTGCTTCCC